AAAACAAGCTTCTTGGAAAGATACTTGTCTTTAGTTTTTGGAGGATTATCCTGGAGATCTTGTGCCACTTTGGGAAAGAACACGTGGTAATTGAAGCCCGTGAGTTTGGAAACTTTTTGGGCCCAAGAAGTTTTTTTTATAGAGCTCACACCAAAACCTCTTTTCCAGTCATCTTAGCACATGTCCATGTGATGCATAGATTGTTGATCTTCCGACGTCTCCCAAAATGTCTCTTCCCCAAAACATTTAGCCATTTCTGTCATTGGAATCGTCTTGTGAGTGGAAAGCTCTCAAGTGACATGAGCTTTATGACTCATGCAGCGGTGAATAATATAAACTATATTTAAACGTCTTTAGTAGGCAATGGAGATTTTATTGGAAATCAGTTATATTGCATTTTGGTGGTTAAAAAAAACGTTTTTCAGCACTGTATACAATATAGTTCCCCAACTCCATTTCAAAAGTGAAGCATTGTTTTGGGGCAGAGGCAGGAGTAGTACTGTATGATTTTTTCGTGACAATTACAGCATTTTACTACAGTGGAACATTGTTAAAAGGTTTTGGGTTGGTCATGTGAATAAAAATAGGTTAATATAACTATTAAATGTACACATTTTCCTTTTTTAACTACAGAAGAAATAGGAAGTTCTTGAATTAAAATGGCATAATCAGCTCTTGAACAATGTTTTTTTTTATGCATAGAAGACAGTTATGCCCAATTTGCAAGCATGCAGAACTGCAAAACCAGTTATTTTGGGCTTGTGTATTTTTGGTACAAAGTGGTTAAAAGTCACTGTCATAATGTAGATGTGGTGTTTATTGCAAGTTACAAAACACTTAATTCTTTCTTTGAGCATTTTTATCTGGAGCTACTGAAAAGCCCACAGGTCTACAACAGGCTAACTAGTCTTGGAATACATTATAGGCAATATAGTTCTAAAAACTCCTACTAACAGAGAGACTGTGTCAGAGCATTTGGGAAAAGCTAACTCTCACTCTTTAATCTGTTGTTCACTTAGTGGATGCTAGGATCTCAGAATCTGCATTTTAACTACATCATTAGTTTTTGTGCATGTATGTGCTGTTGTTTAATGTTTTAGCCTTTGGTTCTTATGTGTGAGCATAGTTGTGTCTTGCTATGTTAAACTTTATCAGGAAAGTCCAGGGGTTGTGCGTTCTTCTTAAGTGACTGATGTCTCATTTGAACAAATATCCTTGTTCTTTATTTAAAAAAGAAAGCAGAATGATTTGCTTTATTACAACCAGTGCTTATATATCTGTTTCTCCGGTGGATTAAGGAACTAGGCACTGTATGATTCTCTGTTAACATGTCTTTTTAGAGTCATTAACACTTTACGTAACCTAAATGAAAAACAGATACCAGCTGTTGTAGCCTTTAAAGGGCAGTTAGCAATGTATCCTCACTATCTTCTCCAGGTTACCGATTTGCAAACCATATTCATTACCCTCTAGGTATAAGAAGTGTTCTTTTCATTGTCACCAATATTATTTTACATATTGTAGTTCTGAGCACTGCCCAATAAACATCTCCATTCTGTTGAAAAATGGTATTGTCGGGACTGACTGACCCACTGCAATGGAGCAGAATCCAGTCCAGGAGACTGTCATGTACTCTTTATCATGCTGCAGAAACCGAGATAGCATCTGACCTAATGAATCACTTAGTGGCATGAGTACAGTGTAACCTTTAAATGCACTATAATGAAAAGGGTGCAGTTGTTCCAGATCTGAACTCAAGAATCGTGGTATCTGGCTTGGATCTGAACTCTCATATGTCTTTGGATCCAAACATTTCAAATATAACAAAAATGTGATCGCAATATGAACATTTTACTTCTGTTTTTGTATGATTGGAGAAGGGAACTGATGGAAGAAATGAAAGGACATTTCAAGTAAAAAAAACTTAAATCTTCCATCAAATAATAGAATATTGTAATGATGCAACTGAAGAACAAAGCAGAATGTTCACATTCTGAAAAAAAAAGTTCTGCGTAATACAATTATCCTGTATACAAATGTTTTTTGCTTACTAATGCAAAAAGCCCTAAAGAACATGTGTGCCCCAGAGTTTCTGCTATCAAGGGAAGGGTTCAAGAGCAAATGCAGCACTTATCTAATTTACTTTAAAGTGCTCCATTGTTTCCATTATGCTTTATCTATTTTAATGAGGAATATCCTATATGTTTTTAATGTCTGTCTGTTCTATTAGGAGGTTGAGACACTTTTCATAGGATGATGTTTATTTTGGAATGTAAACCAGTATTCATTATTTTTGCATATTTCTGTTAAGTAGTAGTGGAACTGTAGCGTCCAATTCATCGCTGTCAAACCTTGGTTGAAGGTTGTGGGTCGCAGGTGTTCTTAAGTTCTGTGAATTCTGTGCTATCATGATTGCTTGGTCTTGCAGCAAGAATCGGCAGATTCTTTTCACTGTGAGGGCAACACAGGAAGTTATGTAAAAAAGTGCTGACCCTTCACATATCCTGTTTCATGTCTGTGTTTGCTAACATTTAAATCTCTCTTTTCACTTACACCAGGGGAATTCAGCCCCGACGCGCACTCCTCATGTCATCAAGATGATAAGGTTTGATCAAAAGGGTGGGAACGAATCCACCAGAATTGCAGAATTAATAGGCCTTCCTTTCTGCCTGTGATGTGCAGTCTTTCTGTGTGATGGGCTAAATGTACTTCCTCATTCGCTGAACATTTCACACTTTGGCTCTCAGATTACCCCTGCAGTAGTGCCTGCCCATCTTAAGTTTCGTTCCCCTTTTCCCTGTGGCTAAACACCTTTTGAAAAAGGGCAGCTCATTTTTTCATCTTATTTCCTGCAGTGGTTTGGCTATTTTATCATGTGCATACTAACATACTGAAATTAAGTCAAAAAGGCTGATTCAGAATTCGATTTGATTTGAAAATGAATAAGTAGATCCACTTAAATGTGCATTTCAATTTTCTTGGTCCTTGAAGTACTGTTCAAAAAGGGTATAGGAAACGCCAAAAGAGATGCTTAAATTTTACCTTGAGGAATTTTCAGATTTTTAACTTCCTGTTTGATTTGAAACTGATATATACAGTAACTATAAAACAGTTTATGCAATAGATTTTAAGCTCTTCTGACCGTTCTATTTTGTTTTAATTTACAGTTATAGATAGAGGTATATCATGTCCATTCAGGTAATGTGCAAAGTGAGCCACATGTGCTAGAAATTCTCATCTTGCATCTTAGCCATGTCTCATTATAAAGCTGAGAGGCACCATTTTCAGGAAAGTCCATGCCTGATTTTCCTCTTCCTTAAAGCAAACCGATAGGAACCCTGCTCAATGGCCAGGTTGTAGTGCTTTCTTCATTATTCACTCTTTCTTAACCTCACTTCAGAAGCACTAGTGGGGTTCTTAAAAATAACCAACCCAATAGGTAACCAATTTTTTCAAAGATATTTACTGCTACAACACTAATATTATGATTGAGTCAGTTTAGGTGAAGATCTTAGTGCTCAACAATAATGACTTTTTTATTTGCGCTGGAGTAACCTGAGCTTTATCTTGATTCACATAGTACCTCTGAAGGCATTCTGCAGTAAAAGCTCTTTTGCAAGGATGGCAGTAGAATTAAATTGACGTACACACCCATTTGCTTCATGGATGTTGATATATGTCCTATCACTCCTGTGTATCTCTCTTTGAGGTTTTAAAGTGCATTTTGAGGTTATGTAGAAAATGTGGTGCTTCTGCAGGATTTCTTTAGCCCTTAACTAAAGAATCAATTCAGGTCATGTGCAAAATGAGGCACCTGCTAGAAATTCCTGTCCTTCATCATGGCCATCTCGCATTATTAACTCGAGAGGTGCCATTTTCAAGAAATGCATTGATACATTTCTGCTCTTTAGCTGTAAAGCAGTTGGTAATCTGTATGAATTCTGTGTACATCTCCAACTGACCACATGAAGACCACATCCTTAATATTAAAGAAGATGAAAGTGCCAGATGATAAACATATTCTGCTAGTATTTTTTAGTTCTGACTAACTGCATTTGTGTGAAATGCTGTGGATATGATTGCCATGAATTAAGTGCTAGAGGCTCATTTCAAATTTGTGTGGAGTCTGTTAAAGCTGTCCTGCTGTAAACAGCTTTGTTTTTGTTTTTTTTTGTGCGTGTTCTATCAGAATTGGCTGCCTTATTGGTATTCCCTGGATGAAGGATTTCCGTTTTACAGCCTGTAACAGTTTGCTGTTGTGTGACTATATTAGACATAGACATACAGTAGTGCTCAGAGATGCTTTGGGATTCCTGATGTTATCTGTATCTGTAAACTGCTGACACTGCAGGAGAAGTTATTTTTATTTAGTCTCTGTTGGGCTTTACAGTCTATTTGATGGAATATGTCCATTGAGACAGTAGTTGGGAAATATCACAAAACGCTAAGAATAAAGGACTAAGAATATTTTTTAAACGTTTTTCCTCTGGGGGTACATGAAGAAATATGAGAATTTATTTGCCAAATAGTTCAGTGCAACAGCTATGCATCATTAAAAGGGAGAAGTAAAAATTAAGTTCTAAGATGATTGCTTTCCTGAAGTTTTGGGTCAGAGAGCTCAGTACTTCCTCATTTAGCCTAAGCATACACATCTTGCAGTAAACTGAAGGTAAGCTGCTTTAGCATACTGCCTGGATTGGAAGTCTTGACTTTTTTAATTTGTGCTTTTCAGCAAAGTGAAAAGGCTCTGCAGGCATAAAATTACTGTTATTGCCATGTCAGTGTCATGTGTGCAGAGTTGCTCAGAACATGAATTGCACTGTTGTTGGTAATGGTCTGCTATTGACAGAAATTCTTGTAGAATGTATGTGGGTAGAAATGGTGCAATGTTGTGGGTAGACCTTGAAAATTAAACTTCGTTTTTCTCACTTCGAAAAGGACGACTGTCCCATGCTGCTTTCAGTGGTCTAATCAACTTTTTTCATAACTTTGTTTTTTAGGTTCTCTGCAGTCTGTCAGGTGGAGCCAGTTTTGGAGTAGACATGATCTGACGAGCTGTACTCCAGCGCCAGAGCTTCTACGGTCCCAGTGGGTTCCACCATGAGCTCAGGAGTGACCCCCCACTCGGTCTCTGAGTGGCTCACCGTGCTTCACCTGGAGCAGTACGTTAAGGCCTTTGAGGGAGAGGGCTATGACTTAATCTCCGAATGCCGCGGCCTGACGGCAGGGGACCTTGAACAGGTTGGAGTGGTCCTACCTGGCCACCAGAAGCGCATCTTGGCCAGCCTCCAGAAGATCTTCTCTGTGGCTCAGGAGGGCGAGAAACCTCTTCCCATGCCAAGGAAGATATACCGCTTACCAAATGCCAGAAACGATCAGAAAGATGTCTTATCTCCTGACCCACCTGAGGTTGGGAGCCCCAGATTCATGGACTCTAGCATTCTGGGAAAGGGTCCACCTCCTATACCCCCAAGGGTGACCCCGAATCGCCCCCCTCTCCGATTTACCCCCGCTGTGGCCCCGACGCCTTACCCACGGCCAGACACCCTGGCTTTGAATACCGCAGCTCTAGAACAGCAGCCGCTGCCCAAGAAGAGCTCCCCTTCTCCGGTGTCTGAACAGTGTCATCTCTATGAGCAGTGCTCTTCCCCAGGGCAGACTGACAAGCTTGTGCCACCCCTTCCTGCCAAGCGCTATGCTGTCAGTGTGCCTAAGGAGGCTCTGGAGGTGCCACCTCCCCTGCCCAGGCGGCCCCCTGTGCCCCCGCCAAGAGAGATCAGCCCCAGGGCTTCTCCTCCAGCAAAGTAAGTGCCACCTGAGTGGCTTGTTGTTTCTGTGGCTACAGTAAGGGATGATTCTCCTCAACAGCTGGCAGAGCCTGAAAGCTCCTTCAATCTGTGTGGAGTTTATGTGTTCTGTGTTCGCATGGGTTACTCTCAGGTGCTCAGGTTTCCTCCCACAGTCCAAAAACAGATTAATTGGCTTCTATAAAGTTGTCCCTTGTTGTGTTTGTCTATGTGTCTGTCTGCCCTGCATCCTATACAGGGTGTACCCTGCCCTGTGCCCATTGCTTGCTGGGATAGGCTCCATCTCCCGCTGTTCTGTAATTGATGAGGTGGTTTAGAAATGAATGGATGTAACTTTTTGTGATTTCAGTTTTACAGATCCTGAAACACACTACAACATCCTTGTATTCAATCTAATTTCTTTAGTTTGCTGTAGCATAGAAACAGTGGAAATTCTAACTGTTAAATTATGCCACTAATTGTGGCATAAATGTTGCGTATTTTTGTGATGCAATTCTGAGTGTTCTGTTGAAATAGTGCCCTCTAGGGATTGAAAGTATTATGAAATGTTTTAACAACATTTTTTAAGGTACATTTTTCACAAGAGTTATGTTTATTTATTGTGGTAGCGAAGCTGTTAACCGTAGTTTCCCAGCTGAGAAGTTGTTGGTTAGCCTTTTCCTTTAAAGGACACCAGGATTCGCACCAGAAGTAAGTGGAGCTATAGTGCAGTATAGACGTACGATGATGTTGATTGCAGGGCTGTCAGAACATGGGGGCAGAATACATGGCTATTTCAGCAATACCAATAGATGTGTAATAATTATCTCCAGTTCCCAGTTTGTTGAGTCTTGAGATATCCAGGATAGGCTGAGTGGGTGGCATGTCAGTTAGTCTCACTGCCCAGTAAATCCCTGGGTTTGATTCCAGCGTGGGGTGTCTGACTGGGAAGTGTCTGCTTGGTTTTCTGGTGTTCATGTGACTTTTCGCTTGGTGCTTAAGAATCCTCCCACTGTCCCAAAGTGTGCAAGTTAGCTTAAATTGGCACCACTAAATTGCTCCTTTCTGGGGAGGCATCCAAGGGGATTTCAGACTTACTGTAAGTGTATTTGTTCCCAGCTTGTGCTTCCGGTGGGAGTACAGCGATATAAAATAAAATGAGTTCAGTGAAGTGAATCACCTCATCTCCTTTGTGTCTTTTTGAAATATATCCATCTACTAAAATGCTGTTCCATACAAAATTGCTTGTGATTATGGATTAGGGAATCTTAAGAGTGTTGTAGTTTGGGATTATATATTACTGTAGTAGTAATACTGTAATACTACTACTAATAATGTAGTATTATGTAGAGCAGCAGTCTTCAACTAGCTCTATTCAGTGGTTGAAGATCACCTTACTTTTAATTATTAAACCAGTAATTGGTTATGGTAATAACAAATTGCAAAGTGCATTAAAACCTAACTCGAATAAAAACTACAAGACACTTAACTTTGTAACACCAGGGTTGCAGACCTGCACCTTAAAAATGTGCTTACTCTTAGAGCTATGTTCAGGATGTGGTTTGGGGTGCTTACAGCAGAAGGTTTGGGAAGCAGGGTGGGGTAGAGGGTAGAGATGAAAAACTTGGCAGCAGCAGTTAAAATGAAAGGATTGTGAAACATTGTTCCCTTGTGCTCAAATGTGACTTGATTAGGAAGGGACTGTTGATATCTGAAGATCTCTAAAATTTGATCAAATACCTTTTATTTGGATTTGCATTGACAAGTAGGTATACTAAAATTGGTCTTACTGGGTGATCTGTAAAGATATAAATGGTTACAACATGGTTTTCAATGTTGAATATGTATTACCGTGAGTGTGCTTATATAGTTGGTGACGTTAGAGCATTGTGGCCCTATTCTCATCAGCAACACAATGAACTGAACTGTAGTCTTTAGCAACAACAGACACTTCCTTTCCAAGTATTTAATGTGACACCTCATTCATTCAGGCACAAGTCCAATGAAGGATACCTTGCTTGTATAGCCTTTTGGTTTTATTCCAATGTAGAGGACTTTATTCATTGTGCTGGTTTCTTAAAACTGCATCTGGTACTGAGAAATCCTCAGTGTTTGTTTAAGATTTAACTTCCTAAAAGTAAGAAAAATCAGAATTTCGTGTAACTCTGAATAGCCTGCAATTGGTAAATAAGAGGGACCAGCAATATAAAGTTCAGAAAAATAGTGTTTATAACCTTTCAAGTGATATGGAGAAGTGAGCAAAAAATATAAATTAGACCTGGTAATACAACAGTCTCCTGTAGTGACAGTAAAAAGGAAAATTCAATATACTGTATAGCATTAGTAAAATATCCAGTTATTTTCAGCACCATTCAAGTGTGTTTCTTCTTGTGAAGATACTGAATGGTTGGGAATAGGATTCTGTATTTTAACTGCATCTGTTTTTGAACTGCAGAGACCAGTAATGCAAAGTAGTCACAAGGTTACTCAGGGCTAAAGTGATCCAAATTTGGTGATAACATTTGCCTCCCAGATGCTTGATTTCTGCAAACAGAGGCTATAAATCTGTGGGCAGACCTCTGGAGGAAACATGTTGCACTTATACTGTATTGCCTGTTAAGAGTCATCCCAAAGATTTGCAAAATACTATATATAGTATGTTCTGGTGTCTTCTTCCTCTTTATGTGACTTAATGTGGGTTAGTGGGGTTGTGCACATATCAGCTGCTGTCTGGTCATTGCTTAAGTCTTGATTGGAAATGCGTTTTTTTTTTAATTGTACTACAGACACTACATAACAACATGTTCATCAGAGTGAGTGGGATGTCGGAAGAGTGTTAAGGTTAAAACTGTTTGATTCACTTGTTAATTTTTCTCGTTGGCTTGATATGAGTGTAATTTTTGTGTCAGTAGAGACTTGGGCCTTAACATTATTACTTAAATCTAGTAGTAATAGTAAGAATGAATAGTTCCCCATTGTTCTTCTGATATTGTACACAAGCTCAGCTTCGACTGATTTTGTGTCTTTCCCATTAGTCAAGCCGAAATGTTGTTTCATTTGAGCAGCCTGCATCACTTGGCGAGGGCTTTTGTTTTCCTAAACGTTCGTAGCATTTGCAACAAGTGGAAATTGTCTTGGCTAGGAGTTGTCAGGAGATCTTGTCCTGTGGAAATTTGTAGTCAGCTTTTCTTCTGCCGCCAATTAAGAATGCGACCTGAATTATTGTGGGAGTTTTAATGAGGTACTGGTTTTGATTGCATTTTTTGACCACGGGGTGCATTTCTGTCTTTCCTTAACAGTTAATCTACAAAGGACCACCAACAACACATACTGTACCTCACAATCTATGTCTATAGGTGTGCAATTGCTCTTTTAAAAACAGGGGTATAAGCTATTGATCTATAAGCACCATTTCCTGCCTTACCTCAGGCCTCTCATCTTAAACCCAGCAGTTTTAAATGTTGAAGACCTACAGTAGCCCTCTTATTTGGGCTCAAGATCTAAGGACTTTATTCCCGGTGAATGATGAGGGCAGGTTTTAAAAGAAACTTTCTGTGTGGAAGAAGTTAACTTTGGTCACTAGATGTCGCTGTTTGCAAATGCATAGCTCATGTCTCGGGCTTCCATTTACATGCCTGATGATGGGATATTTACCGTATGTTGTTAAATGATAATATTTTTAGGTGTGTCCTGTTGATCACATCATGGGACAAATCTCAACATTAAAATAAGGATCAGTGTGTTTTTATCAGAGAGTGTGATTAGTCTGAGAAAACACTGAGTTGGGTTAGAAGATTAAAGGATAGCTTACAGAGAAATGTTTAGGGACCAGGAGGTGAGTTAGCTGAAGGTCGAGATGTGATAATGGGCAACACTTGTTACAAATTAAAGAATTAATAAGTATTGCTCTTGTGTGGTTAAAGTTAGAAGATTAGGAAGTGATCAAAATGAAAAAGTAACAAATGCCACATTTGACACTATTGGAAATCAGTACTCTTTTTTAGGAGAAGAAATACAGAGCTTCATAATCAGCACATCTCTTTTTCCCTGATCAGACAGTGATTTCCAGTTTGGTAATATATTAACCCCTCACAACGCAGTTGCCACAAATCTGCTGTGCTGTCCAGAAAACTCTGTCACCCTGAAGGCAAAATATATTGATTATGCAGAGGAATTACAGTGAGAAATACAATCCGGATAGTATTGTTTAAAGATGTAATAAGTGACAATATGAGAAAATTTGCATTGACACCCACTTTACTGGGAAGTTTTATCTTCCCAAAGATTTTGTTCCTGCATGTCTTTAATATTAAGCCTATTTCTTTGTGAATGTGATAATGTCATTTAATTGGTTTGTTTGCTTTTTTTAAGGGATGAAGGAATTTGTGTCTGATGCTGCTGACATTGTAGCTTATTGAATGAAACATCACTCCTACGTCAACAGACAAGTAAAACTCAGGGCCAAACAAATATGAACAATTGAATCTTCACCACATAATGGCTACTCCTCCTCTTAGTTTTGAAACCAGATACTCTGTGCCAGAATTACTCTTCCCCCCCAATGAAATATTTTGTGTTCTTGACTTCTATTAATTACAATCTTATAATTAATTAAAAAAATAGTTTTCTCTTTTAGTACTGAACTAAACTGGCCATTCCAGCACACATTAAATAAGTAATAAGTAAGTAATAAGTAAGGAGGAACTTATCAAGTAAAAAATGTCAGTGCTTCCTCTTTAAATGTTTTTGGGGCTGAAATGTTGAATGGCTTGGAAAACAGATAATGCTCTGTGGAATTTAGTGTACTGTACCTTTGCAAGGATCATCAAGATGATGTTTGGCTAGTTGGCTGGCTCGCTCTTACGGTTTCTCTTAATCGTCCTTTTTTTCTTTTTTGACGAGGACTTTGTAAAAACCGAAAGGGAGACAGGAGAGAGAGCATTACAGGAAGTTGCTGAGCAGAACGGAGAGCTTAGCAGAGACATTTCCAAAAGTACATTCAGCTTCCTTGTTATTCA